TCTAGCAGGTGTACTTTGGAGCAAACATTATAATCTTGCCAAAGGGATGGGTAGGCTCTTGAAGTTGGACACCTTAAACTCCAAACCACCTACAATAAACCACCTATTGACAAGTATTGGAAAGGAAAATAAAAATCGCCAAGAATAATTCAGCTAGTTGCCTAGTACAGTTGGTATAAAAAAAGTCATAGTCACTAAATACGCAATACGTTTGGAACACAAACTGGCCCTCCTTTTAAAGTTTCTGCCTTTAATATATACAAAAATACAAAAAACAAGTCAAGAGTTTGAGAATGGTAGAGAAAGCAAATAGATGTTGAAGGCTGTTAGAACACTATGCAAGTTCAAAATTGAGGATTTTCTGTCTCACCAGATAACGATTCGATTCAGCATGCATACATTGCATATTGTACATGGTAAGAAGGTTGCTGAAGAGGATATTGCATACCTAGCCACCATTGTACCGACTCCATCTCTTTGAAACAATTCCTTCAATAAAACTCCGCCAATAGTTCCATCTAATAGGTGAACTCTCTGAACCCCTCCCTGATGGAAAAGCAAAATAATGGAAAAGGTTGTTAAATACTTAACATAAAATGCATCACAGGAATCAATAAAAGATTGTTAAATGGAAAAGGTTGTTAAATACTTAACATAAAAAGCATCATAGGAATCAATAAAAGAACACTTGAGGGTATTTCCTAGGGCCTGACAAAACCTCTCCCAAGTAAATTTGATCAATGTTGAGTTTACAAATAACCTCTTCCTTCCTTTTCGTTTTTTCAGGATTAGTAAAAATATATACCGAAGATGTAAAATGAACTTGAACTCCGCTGTCCGCACCATCCTTTTCGGGATGGCAGGACGTACCATTCAAAGCTATCAGTTGGTGGAGTTGAGAAACTCAAAAATGAATAATTGATTCAGTCTTTCAATATGAAACAATGGAAATATGATGTCATCATTTAGAAGCAGAAATCATCTTAGAACGCAAGGAGGGAACCAAAACATGCTTCTAACCAGCATCACCATTTGCAATTGTTCAGTATTTCTATGACAAACTACATTCAGAATCAAATGCTTAAAATAAACAGAGTTAGACCAGCTACCAATGTCTTTCTGAACCTCACCCTTTGGCTGTTGCACACTCTATGTCGTTTGACATATTTCACAACAGAGAAGAGCCTAACAATCTATCACTGGCCTGACATGAAAAGCTTATATAAAATAATTTTAGACCTTCATTCTACTGAAAGATTGAAGTTTGGAGGTTTAACAAGAGGCATTTTTGCTGATCAGCCAATCATGAATAAGACTTGGAGCCAAATATCAAAGCTATTAGTTTAGCATATTTTCACTGTTGACACCAAATTTTGCTAAAAACATATAGCAGCAAATACAACTCAGATGTAGGTGTGACCGATGTTACACGAATCATTTTTACCAGCAGTTGAAAGAAGTGAAACAATAAGGAACATCATAGGCAAAACCACAACTCTCTTTAGCTTGCATTACATATTGCACCTCCTTACCAATGATTTGAATATATGAAGAACGAATATGACACATTCACAGCATCAAGAAATAACATACAAAAAGTCAATGATGCTTATTATTATAAGATTAATAATGTGTTTTTGGTTAGGTTGATCAAGTATAATGGGCGACCTGATAAGGTGTGTCTATTGATACAACTGTGGACTTACTCTGCAAACAAAGGCGGCAGCAGCCAATTCTGAGGTGTAACCATTCAATCGGCTCAGCCTCTCTTGACCTCCAATGGCAAAACCTTGTTCACTAGACCATAGTCCATTCCCATTGTCAAAACCAACACCATTCTGAAACTTTACAGTATATCTACCTCTAAAACCATTCCCATTCACTGGAGAAGGGACAGTTCCATTGGTATCTTTGTGTTCAAGACAAGTAAGATCATCCCGAGCAACAGCTTTCACATAGTTAGCGGCTATATCGCTTTCCTCAGCTCGCTTGCGAATCCACAAGTCGGCCTCTTGGAGAGGCAAAAAACGAATAAGACGCCCACACTCATCCTGAATAGGGCCATCTATAATGCAGATAAGCTTCTCTGCTCCCAGAGCCAATGCACAAGCTGTAGCAACTTCATATGTGCTGCAATAAAGAGAAGCATGAGACATTCAGAAATTGTCAATGGATTATACGTCACAGCATCATAAGACTATCAAAAGCAGTCTCATCTAATCGATTTACAAATGGTTAGAATGCATTGTATATACAAGTATACAACATTTGTATATGACTACAATACCATGCTATACCATAGGCATAATTACATCCCATCACCAATGCAGAGTACATTAACGGTACAAGAGGGAACCAAGGGATGATGCATTGCATTTATGATTGTTAGACGCATGACTCTGGAATAATTGATAAGAACCAATTATTGCCTTCTCCTCATTCAGACTTGCTTAAGGGTTGAGAGTTGACACCAGAGTATATACAAGAAGAATTTTTTTTCTTATGACAATGTACCGTGCTGATTACAAGAAGTAGCACAGTGTTATTCAAAGATTTCAATCTAACCTATTAAATTATCAACTCTTCATGTACCAATGTTCTCACTGCTGCCTACTAATTTGTCCACATTTTTTTTTGATGTTCACCTATTTTTCTGCCTTCACCTTTATGATCAGACTGAAGCACTACTTACCTCGTCAGTCTTAATTTTAGCAAAAACTGCCCCTACAAGGATACTTAGGCAATGTATCTAATCTAATTATGTATGTGGCACAGTTATAAGAAATCCAAAATGGATTACAGCTGAAAAACAAAGCAAACAAATGAAGGGGAAACCAAGCATGGATTTTGGAATAAAAAGAAAAAAACTCTAATAGATAAGAAGTAGAGCTGTTCTGAGAAACACCCTATATAATTCTGCCTAAACATCATATGCTAGAGCAGAGGGGAAAATTGAAGCAAAAACTTAATGTACAATCAGATCATGCCAAGCAGTAACAAAGATACCTATTAAAAGCCATATAGCATACTTGCAATTTAATACTTCTCCAGAGCTGGAATAAGCTAGATTGCTTAAGATCACAATGCACTCCTGATCAAGCCTCTGATGAATGCGAGATACATCTATTTTCTTCACTTCGCCTGTTGCTCCATAATCAATGCCTTCAACAACTCCTCTTCTCTGCCAAAAAAAATATGTCAAACTCACAGCAAAACCAAAATGAAAAACAAATAAACCATGCATACCGAGCGATAAGTTTCAGAAGGCCATTGATCATACCAAAACAAGGCAACAAAATAAAATATTAAACAAAAAGGATACATGCCGAGTTTGCAATAAAACTATGCTCACCTTAGCTGCAAGAAAATTACCACTAGCAACACTGACACCATCATGCCAACGACTATTGTCGCCATGACGACGGACGCCACTTAAGGAGGGTCCAGGAGATAGCTTTGCCTCTATCATTATACGAATCCTCCCAGCTGCGTCCATTGATGCCTCGAGAGAATTAGAGTCTGTAATTCTGTATCGACCAACATACTTGGGCTCACTTCCTGGAAGAAAAATGCATCAGTTTCCCAGCTATTTGACAATATGATGAATTATGAATTAGCCCAAAGGAAACTGTAACTATCGTGAAATTAGACAGAATACATTGTCAAAGTGTTAGGCCTAAGAATAATAAGGAAAAAAAGGCTGTCTACACGCAAAATAGGCAGGGTCACTACATATTATGTATAGCTACTGGGAAACACATTGCCATTCTAACGAGTTACTGAATCAATATGTTTTCTTATCCCAAATTGTTTTAAAGGTTATTACCAGATATAATTAAATTAGAGAACATTCATGTATTAAGGATGAAGTTGGAAGGTCCATAATTAAAATCTTATAGTTTTAGTTCTCTTCTGGTCTGAAAGCTGTGTCTTTGACCATCATGTGAATAAGGTGCAAAATGGTAGGTCAATATGGACCCCAACATCCAATCCACCCTGATGAAACATCCAACTTTCTTAGTCAAAGCAACAAGGCGGCAAAAAAAGTCCTACAACCTCTATCATCACTACAGAATAGTAAGCCTATTTAACATATGGACACCAAACATCCAATCCACCTTGATGAAGCATCGAACTACTTAGTCAAAGCAACCAGAAGGCAAAACCAGTCACACAACCTCAATATCATCACTACATATGACAGTAAGCCTATATAACATCTTGGGCCTCTCAGGCCATAATAATCATTTGTATATGAAGGAAAGTACCCTAAAAAAATAAAAATAATATACTGCCAAAAAATCAAAATGAAGCAATAAAATCACAAGCAAACAAAAAAAAGTTTGGCGTTGCGCTTTATGTGAGACTTTGTTGGGTGGCACCGGTACCATGTCATCTATGATATGTTTGGATGTTATGGGTCATAGGGAAAGAGAAGAATGAAGACCAATTGGTGTTGTGCTTTTTTTGCTACTATTTAGGTCATTTGGTTGGTGAGAAACACAAGTATCTTGGACAAAAAATGTGAGGAGGTTGAACTGTTATGGCTTCCTTCTGTTCTTTAGACACTAAAGAGTTCAAGAATGTTCCTCTTTTTTGCACTATGGCAAGTTGGACAGCTTCTTGCAGAATGTAGTATTATATGACTTTGTTTTGCCCGTCATACGACTTGTCCACCTTCGGTTGGTTTTTGTAACTCCTTTTATCTTATTCTATTAATAAAATTGATGTTTCCTATAAAAAAAAAAATAAAAAGTTACGGCAGAGCTGAAAGAAAACAAGGCATTGAAAAACAAAGCAACCATATTTTAATTACCTCTCTCAGCTAAAAGCTTGTCAATTTGCACATGGGTTCCCGGAACTATAACAAATTTGATCCCCAATCCATGGAGAAGAGAGATATCCTGCAGTTCAAAAACAATCAAGTCGGTGACACACATGCAAAAAGACTTTCACACGAAACTTAGAGAACTAAAAGAGATACATACAGATACACAGAAAAAAATTGAGAATTCCCTCAAATCAATGCAACCAACTCCCAAAGAAGCTCTTACCCCAACAAAAAAAACCTTCCAAAGATGCAACAATTTAAGGAATTGGGTTAATTGTGCTACAGGTCCCCAAAATATGAGGTTTGTCTCATTTTAGTCCCCAATTTTTCAATTGCATCATTTTAATCCATGAACTATTGCTAATAATTTTTTATCATAAATTTGTCAAGTAATACCTAAATATTGACAAAAAATAATTTTGATAGCTCTTAAACAAAATTTAAGTAGCTCTTGACAAAAAATGTGTAATATTAGTATCTTTTAACCAAAATTTGGATAGCTTACAATCAAAACTGTGTCATTTAGATAGTTATTTAACTAAAATTTGAGTAAAAATTTGGTCAAGAGTTATCCAAATTATTTTTTTATCCATATTTAAGTATCATGTGATATGTTTATGATAAAAATTGTTAGCTATCTGAACGTTGTCTACTTGAAGGACCATATAAAAATATATTCAATATTTCAGGGACTAAAATGATGCAATTGAAATATTAGAAACCAAAATAAGATAAACTTCATAAGGAATAATATGCCAAAATACACCATCATAATTTATTTACAATGACATACACAATCCACTATTCATATAAATCTAGCATATATTATGCATGTGGAAACAAAAGGGAAAGAATTGAAACTTGCCATGAGAATGGGATCCAAATGAGGACTATCAACAATTTCAGCAGAAATTAGAACAACAAATGTACTGCCTCTGTGGGCACGAAAGTACGGCCAAGATTCACGGAAAAACTGCACAAATTGATCATCTTTCACAGCATTACTGGCTTCAGTGATGTCGGTCCTCTCTGTTTCCCCCAAAATACAATTACACCTCCCTCTAATTTTCTTTCCAGACTTACCCGCCACAGGCGAAAGATTTATCGCATTGAACCCACCAAATCTCTCCCCAATTCCTTTTGGACGCTCCCAAATAGTGGTCGGTATAGGAAATTGTCGGGTGTGCGTTTGAAGAGGAATGCAAGGGCTTAGAAGCGAAGTAGCCATACAGGTTGAGACTTGAGATTGGAATTAAGCAACCCTAATTTTATAAAACTCGAAGCCCTTTATAGAGGTGTGGTGGTTGTGGCGGCGACGGCGAGGTCGGCGGCGGTTTAGAAAGTTCATAGCACGCAGTTGTTGAACTTGAAAGGTTTTGGAGGTGGACCAAGCGCGAAACTAACTAGTTCTGTGGCGGAGTGTTTGTCTACAGAATTATGTTGTTTATATCCGAGGTTGGGATAGCATTGTGATTTCCAATTAAACTCTGTCCTGATTTTATTCGGTTTCTCAATGGACAATAGGCATATCAACATATCGATTTGGATTAGTATCCTTATCTTTAAAAGTAATAATACTATTGGAACCTATAAGTTTAATCTAATTTGTTAACTTAATAATTTAATTTTATTAGAATCATTAAATCAGCACTAATTGACATTTCTTTTTCAATTTTTTTTCCTAATTGACATCATGCAACCATAACCGTTAGATGATAGTGTGGCACAGTAATCCAATGGTCCATATAGGTTGGTGAAAATTGTTAAACAAAATTGAAAGAAATAGCGTCGCCCTTGACACATTTAAGAACACTAAGAAGTTAGAAATTAGGGCAATATTATTGGGATCAAATTTATTGACTTAATTTGTTGATCTAAGTCGTTATAGTCTTTGAATTGATTGTTAGTCTTATCAAACATTAAAATTTGGTATTAATCAAATAATTTCGCTAAAGTTACATCATTAAATCAATAAATTTTATCAAATTTTTATGTCTAAATAACATTACCGTAACATAAAGTGTTGCATGTGCCCCTCAAAAAGATTTCTTTTTCAATTAAAAAAAACTCAAGTTTTAAGCCAACTTCAAATAAATCAAATATCATAGGAGTTACAAGAGTTAGTGACATCAAAAATTATGTATGCAACCTATTATACGTAGAATGTGAATTCTATCGTGCTTTAAATATTAATTATTGTGAGAATTATACTCAAATCTCTTAAAATTTGTCACTTAATCACTCAGATCTCCTAACATTTGAAATATTATACACAGACTCTTTGTGGTTTGTACATGAGCAACAATTAGACTCTTACTGTCAATGTCCATTAGTATATCCGTTAATAAATTATACTCAGACCCCCTAAAATTTATAGGCATATAATACTTAGACCCCTCATTTTAAAATGTTATACTTAGACCACAAAAACTTCAATCAAGTGTAAAATATTAAATATTTTAAATTTTACAATCAAAATTCATGTTCTATTGTACCATTTATTAAAAAAATTTAATTTTTTCCTAAAAAAATCATATTAGTATATAATTAGACTATATATTGGAATAAAACTAAAAAATTAAATAAGGGATATAAGTCATTCATAATAGAAAATGAATTTTACAATCAAAATTCATGTTCTATTATATCATTTATTAAAATAAAATTTTTATTTTTTTTTGAAAAAATCATAATTAGTATACAATTATATTATCTATTAGAATAAAACTAAAAAATAAATAAAGGGTTCAACTGTAATAGACACAATATCTTTTAGCTTTAATTGGAGTAATGTGATAGTTTAATTTGGACATTTAAATGACCAAATTAAATTCTAATAGAGAGTATAATTATATGTTAATTATGAATTTTTTTAAGAAAAAAATAAAATTTTTATTTTTGATTTTATTTCAATAAATGTCATAATAAGACATGATTTTTGATTCTAAAATTTAAAATATTTGATATTTTATTAGAGTATTTTTGGTCTGAATATAATATTTAAAATTTAAGAAGTCTAAGTGTTACACGCTTACAAACTTCAAAGGGCCTAAGTATAATTTATTAACGAATATACTAATAGACGTTGACGGCAATGATCTAAGTGTTATGCGCCTACAAATTTCAAGAAAGTTGTGTGAAGGGATTTAACCTCATGATTATACGTGATATGGTATTAAATATGCTCACGTGATGCTGACAAGACAAAGCACGTGATGAATAATGTTTTATTAAGTTTTTTAACCAAGCCGAGCTAATTAGAGGTTTTGGTAATGGAAAAAAAAGTTTGTTTCTCTTTATGACCGAACTCATCAGATCAGCTAAGTAAAGAAATAGCTTGGCTTGTACCAAGCCGAGTCCGTTAAAGTGTTCGGGAAGGAGATAGAAGAAAATGGTTTGTACCAAACCAAGTCCCTAAAATTATTCGGTAAATATCAAATGTGCTCAACGTATAACAAATCCAAGCTGTTCAAAACGATAGATGGAAAGATAAAGATTCGCCTATAACTTAGGCAATCAGATAAACGGTCAACGAAATTGTAAATATCAGGAGGAATTGTTGGAGAAATATCAGCAACGTCCCAAACTGAATTATTGAATCTAAGGAAGATGTGCCACCTTGAATCAAGAATCACGGGAACCCTAAGGAGATGACCATCTATAAAAAGCAAAAAGAGCCAAGAAGAAAGGTACAGTGAACTCTTATGATCTTGGTGCAATTCTTTTTGTTTCATTACTGACTTTAAGCATTGAAGTGCCTTCAATCGAAGCATTTCGATCATGGACAATTTGTTCGTTTTGCAGACAAAAGATTAGGAGATTGTTCATACTTCTTTTCCAGAAATCATATCATGAATTTACGTGTAGAGGTATTACCAATTTTTTGCCTCTACAGTGTATAATATTTCAAATGTCGTAGAATCTAAATGATTAAGTGATAAACCTGAATGTGTATAATTTTCCTTTAATTCTTTTGATGTTAATCTCATCCTCTATTTTCATTGTATTTCTAATCCTCTTGCTTGTGGCACACGAGGGCTATTTTCTAACTGGAGTATTATTGGAGCAATTCCAACAATATCCAACAAAAAACAATAGAAAAATTAAACTTGACTTTCTTTTGTTTTCTTCTTATTTTCCCATCTTTATGTCTCTACTCCCATCAATTAGGGAAAATTAAATTCGTTTACCAATTTATTTTCCGGACCAGTTTTTATTATTTATTTTTTGGAATTTTCCCTCCTCTCCTCTATACTCTCTCCCTCCTAAGCACGCTGCTTATTATCGTTTTTCTCTTTGAAGCCTTCTCTCTACCAATACCTAACACACGAAGAGAGAGAGAGAGAGAGAGAGAGAGAGAGAGAGAGGGGGGGGTACCTCGAGTATGGAACCCAAGAAAGGACTGTCAACAATTTCTGCGGATAATATGAGGACGAATGTATTGCCTTTATGTGCCTGAAAATATGGACGAGCTTCTCTCATTATCTTCACAAACTCCTCAGTCTCAGACATCCAATTCCATCCATTCCCAAAATCACCATTTTTGCAACACCTCAGAAACAACCTTTTCCTCTCACTTATCCCCACTCCCAAACACTCTACTTTTCTCATCAAATCAAAACTCTTCCTCCTACTAAGATCTGTTTGGATCCATATATTGCAATATGGGGCCAAAGCTTCACCATGGTGTTGCTGAGAAAACCATGGCATTGGTTTCAAGTTTGTAGCCATTAATGTACAAACCTCGAAAGTCCCACAAACCATGGCACAGAACGATGGGTAAAAGAGAAAATGATCATTTTTTAAGGCCAAGTAGTCTTTATATCTTATGCTACTATGTACACTCTTAAAAGAGAAAGAAAAATATTTTTTATAACAGTGATACAACATCATTGTTTATATTTGTTAAGCACTAATCAAGTATAAAAAAAATTCTTGTATGGATTAAATAAATCTCACTATTTCAATAACTACTCGTAACCACCACGTTGAATAACTTTATGTTAGAATAGAGAGGTTTACTTATTTTATGTAATATTTTACTATTATACAGTGATACCTCGTGCCAATTTGAAGACATTGCATTACCAATACTTGGGATTGTATTGAACCTGGGAAGAAAATTCCAAGTATGTAAGAAAATTCCAGGTATGTAAAGTTATGTTTGGTTGCGCGTCCCGAGTCCATAGGAAAATGGACTCCATGATATTTCAAACTTTTTTTCTTCTTTTTTTTGATTCAACGATATGGTGTGTTTGAGTTAACTTATGCACATTGTGACTAATTTTTTTTCCAGTCTGGTCAAAAACAATTCATAACTAATCAAATAAATGCATTAAATTAGGTCGCCGGACGTCTTACAACATTACCACCTTATATTTTATTTTTGATCAATTATCGGGGTGTACATAAGTTATGAAACATGTTTGGTGGGGAGTACATATGCTACTACCAAACATGCCAGTCTGAAAAAAAGAATAAATAATTTGTTATTGGTTTGTACAAGACCGGACCAGGATATAGAATTATGCCGAATTATATTACAAGATTCCAATGGCATAAAAAAGTATGTTTTTTTTGCTAGTTCGTACTATGACCAGCTCAACTCCCGCATAGCCTTCTTGCTAGTTAGGAAACAATCATAACGGATATTATTTATTTACTAATTAATAAAAAAAATAGTCAACAATAAATATATTTATATTTATACATAAAATTAAATCATAAAAAAAGAGAAAAAAAAATCTAAGCACGGGTTGTAGTGGGGGATGAGCAGTAATAGTGGTGGTGGTGAAAAATAATAATGATTTTAGTGGGTGACGACGACTGTGGTGATGGTGACGACCGTGGGTCACAATAGTGATGGTGGTAATGAATTTTGGGTGACGATGGTAAAAGTGACAATTATGAGTGAAGGCGATTGTGGTGGTGGGTATGGGTGATGGTGGTTGACAATGGTGGTGGGGGGGTGACGACAGTGTTGGGCAGTGATGATGGTGCTTTGTGGACAACGATGGGTGCTTTTCAGGGCGACAATGTGATAGGTGGTGGCGAATAACGGTGGTGGTGGTAGGTGTGGTGAGGTGGGTGACAATGGCTGGAGGTGATGGTGTGCAGTGACGGATGGTGGTGGGTTGTGGTAGTGGGTGATGGACGATGGGCGATGGTGGTAGTTGTAATAAATATACAAATGAGATAATAATGGTTGTGGGTGGATGACAGTGGCATCAATTGGTGGTAGTGACAATGGTGGTGGTGATGGTGGTGGTGGTGATGGTGGGGGTGGGGTAGAAGTAGTGGAAGTGCAGGTGGGACAATGACGGTGGTGGTGATGGATAATAGTGGTGGTTTTATGGCAAAGGTGATGGTGGGGGGGGGGGGGTGGCAACGACAATGGTGGTTGTGGCAGTGGTGGTGATAATGGGGCAGTGGTGGTTGTAGTGTGGTAGTGGTAATGGTAATGATGCAATAGGTTTGGTGGTGGGGCGATAGGGTGGCGACAGTAGTGGTGGTGGTGGTGGTCGTTGTGGCAGAGGTGGTGGTTGGTGGCGACAATGACGGTGGCGGTAATAGTGGTAATGATGATGGTGGTAGGACGGTGGTGGGGTGGCGGTGATAGTTGTAATGGTGATGGTGGTGAGGCGGTGGTGGTACTGGTGGTGGGATAGTTTTAAAAATATATATATTTTTTTGTTGAAATATTTATGAGAAAATATAAGTTCTAAAAATACTTTTAAAAAATACTCAAAACGCACCATTAGAGACTTATTTTTCTTATTAAAATTGAGATATTAATATTAGCCGTCGGATTAAAGAGATTTCAACCACGAAAAGTAAAAATCATTTTATTTTTTTTTAAGATTTGAATTGTATTGTAGTTTATTGTATAGATTTATTTATTTTGTTTAGGGAGAATTATATTTTATATCCTGAAAAATTTAAGTATATTTATTATATATTTTTAAAAATTAAATATCTTATATTATACCTTAAATATATCAAAAATATTACAATGTGTCCCTTTTGTTAGATTTCGTTATGTTTTTCGTCAATGTTAATGAGGTGATTTTTGACGGAAAAAAATAATAGAAACTAATAGAATGATAATATTGTAACACTTTTGATACAATGAAGATACAATATAAAAAAAAAAAAATTACGTTTGACGGTACAAAATAAAAATCCAATGTATAAAATGCAATTCACTCTTTTGTTTAATGAGAAAACTCTCAAAGGCACAAGGTCATTTTGGACCCATTCTTAATTCTTGTAAGAGTAATCTATGAATATATGCAATTAACCGCAAATTACAAGTATCGATCAAATTCGAGAGACACTAGTGAGGGTCAAACTCCCAACATCTCGGGTTTATGGTCCAATCTCATACCGTTGAATACTCGTACAAGATAATAAGTGACATTACTAGCCGATTATAATAAACAAAAATAATCACAAATCAAAACAAAATCTGTTGTTAGATTTTTCTTACTATTATCGAAAACCACTTTTGACTTATTAGTTTGAACTTTGAAGGGCTTTCCATCTTCAGTGTTTTAATATTTTATTCATTGTTTTTTGGGTTTCTCATATTGGGTGGGATATTTTCACATCACAAATATTCATTTTGACTTCATTTAATTTCTTATTATTAAACTATTAAATTCACCTCTTTTATATCAACCTCATTAGTAACTAAGTTCATTCCATACTATACACACTCTTTTAATAATTAAGTTCACTCATTCCCATTATGTAACCATCAAAAAACAAAAAAAAAAAAAAAGAAACAAGAGAGAAAAAGTACAAGCTAAGACGAAAACAAGAAAGAAAAAAAACAACCAAAATCAAAACAAGAAAACAAAAAAAGAAAAAAGTAAAGATGAAAATATGAAACAAGGAAAAAAAGAAAGAAAGAAGCAAACCGAAACAAGAGAAAAAAAAATCAAGCACAAGATAAAAAAGAACAAATATAGACGAAACAAGAAAAAACAAAACAACTTAATAGTTATTGCAAAATTGAAGCAAGAAAAAAATTAAAATAATACAATTAATGATCGTAAAAGATACCAAAATACTGATTTGAAAGCATAAATATATACACACACATATAAATTTTAAATAAAAAATTATTAAACTTGACCGAGATATTAAAATACACCAAAATAATAAAATTTCATATAACATACATGAAATTAAACATATAATTAAATCGAGAAGTAATATTAATTTGTATCTCACGAAAAAAATCCATATTAAAAGAGTGTTTTATGGGTATATGAGATGAGATAGTGAATGAAACTCTAATTGTGAGAAAATATATGTGAGTTTACTTATTAAAGTGGATGTGTATAGTATGTGATGAATTTAGTTACCAATGAAGTAGGTATAGAATGAGTGAATTTAGTAATTTAATAATAAGAAATTAAATGGGGTGTGAAGCAATATTTGTGGCGTGAGAATAACCTCACCCGTTCATATTTTATATTTGAAAGATTTTAATATTCTCACTTTGTACTCTCAAAAATTAAATTTCTCACATTACACTCTCAATGTATCAAAAGTATTGTAATTTGACCTTTATGTTTGTCTTTGTTATTTTTTTCTTCAAAAGTCAACTCATTAATACTGACAAAAAAACTAACGAAAAGCTAACAAAAGGGTTACATTGCGACAATTTTAATATATTGAGACACAATATAAGAAATTCGTAGAGTATAAAGTGAGAATCTTAAAACTTTTTAGCCACAAAGTGTAATTCACTTTTGTTTTTCTCCATTTTTCCTCTTCTGGAAAGTTATTTATTTATTTATTTTTTCTACAAGTTCACTTCTAGAAAGTTGAAACCGTCAAAACACCAAAAAATAAAAAATAAAACAAAGTAAAAGTCATTTGAATAGATATAGCATGTGGGAAGAGCACGTGGTACTCACTACGACTATTAGTGTAATTTGGAACAAACTTCAAGTAAAAAGTATAAAGAATAAAATTTATTTCAATATATTTTATTTGATTTGTCTAAACACTAGGTCCTCTCTTATGAATTGAAGAGAAACTCAAAACATGGGTAAAGCTCCATCCATAAAGTTGTTTTTTTTTTTTTTCTGCAGGGTATTCAAATTTATGTTTATTATTCGCTCAAGCTCAGTTGTTAAGATAAATTATTTACAATGAAAGAAAAATATATTAGAAGGATTTTGGATTTACATCTTATAAGAATCCTAAAACTCTTTCTCCCTTTCTCTCTATATATATAGAGAGAAAGAGTTCTAATTTGATAAAATTCTAAAATTTATAAATTTTAGTTTTCAAATCTATTTTAAGGTTTTTTAATTGGTTTTATGAGAGCAGTTCAAATCTATTTTAAGGTTTTTTAATTGATTTTATGAGAGCAGTTATTTTGTTAAGGATGTATTAAAAATTTATTTTTCAAATGGATTTTTTGTCTGATAAAAAAAAATGAATTTTTTGCCAAAATCTTTTTCTACTTAGACTTTTAACCTAATAAGTATTAAAAGTTGTATCGACTTCAAAAAAAAACTCAAATATTATGCTCTATAGTATTTTCCTTTTTAACATTTCAGCTCGATCAACTCGTGGCCCACTTGTTGTTTGTTGGGCAAAAAAACAAGATGATGGGCCTTCTTTTTTCCCTAGTGGGTTGTTAGGCATGATCTAACACAAAAAAATCCTCGTCAAAATTTTTTGGGTCATTAAGAATAATTGAAGTCATA